CTGGCGGCGGTGTCGCCGCCGTCGCTGGCGCTGGCCCGGCTGGATGGCCGGTCCCGCGGCTGCCCAGGGCGCCGGGCTCTCTCGCATCCCAGGGCCGAGCGTTCCCTCCGCCCGCATCGCACTGCAGTAAGTTCGCGAGTCGCTGGGCGGCCGGAGTGGTGGGAGCCGCGGAACTGGGGGGCCGTGATGCGCGGCTGTGTGTCTGGGCGTTGTGGAGGGGCTGAGCTGAAAGTTGTAGCTTACCGCGGTGTGTTGAATTTGTCACGACGCGTCGCTTTGATTTCTAGTTACTGCTAAATTGCCTCGTGGACCTGTATCACTTTGCTCAGCCTCAGTTAGTGTCCTGGTGCTGCCCCTGGTAGCCGGGTTCACAGCGGTGAAGTGCTGAGGCATCCAGTGTAGGTGCGAACACAACGAGGGCAGGAAACAAAAGGTGCGGCTGCAAACTTAGGCTTTCAAGGCTGCTCTTGAACTTTACATGTTGATGTTACGAGATCATTGTTGTGTTTTGAGTTGTTTTGTTTTGGGTTTTTTTGTTTGTTTGTTTTGTGGCCCAGTGTTGTTCTGATTCTTTTTTAATAACAGTTTTATTTGTCAGAGGTGAATGTAATTACATTTTTCATTGTGGGTGTCCTGTTTTGGAGATGGATTAAAGGTTTTCTCGTCAGATTACTATATCATAGGTATTATTTTTCCATAGCTAAACAAGCAGCTTGTAGTGTCTTCAGTTCTTCATTGTTTCTCTGTTTTTCTACAAAGATGGGTAGAGCTTTATTAATTTTCAAAAGCAGTTTTGTCTGGTTGATGTAAGGTTAGAAAAAAATGGAAAACTTATAAAACCCTATCATAAAATAAAAAAGGCCATGCAACAGGATGGGGAAAACCAGTAATTGTAGCAGGAGATGTAGTCTTTTTAAGTTTTTATAAAAGCTACTCAATGTTTCCTACTCACATTTAGGTTAAATGACCTAATGTAGCAAGGTAATAGTTTTTCTTTGCACTTGAATGGTATGATGCACATATTTAGAAAGTCATTATGCATACGGAAAAAAAATCCATAGCAAGAACGTAATATGCATTCCCAAATGACTGGACTTGTGCTATGCTTTATGGATAACATGACAGGAAATAAGTCTCTTGTTTCTCCCCAAAGTGGTAATCCAGTATTACTCAGAGCCTGAAGTGTCTATCTAGTACAGAAGGAAAACAAGCATCAAGAAACATGGGGCATCACAAAGCAGCACTTTCCTCCAGGGGCTTCTCTTTTCTCTTGTTCATTTGTCAGGGTAGAAGGACTTTGTTGTTTATCATAGCAGGGAAGACCTGGAACAATTATTCAACAGTCTGAAATGTTTGTGGAGCCATATGTTTTACGCTGTGAATTTGAAATATTTGGGTACAATTGTTAATCTAATTTAGGGGCCTGCAAACATCAGATGTTGCTGTTCTGAGGCAGGTTTAGGAAAAAACCCCTTTCTTATATTTTTTAAGGAAGAAGTATATATGAATTATGTACCTGCTGAAATAATCTTTTCTAAACACCTATAGATGTCTTGAACAGTATTCAGTAGCAATGCATGAATGAACAGATATTTTTTAAGAGTTCATGCAGTATGAAAGTAATAAAGTTAATTGTTTTAAAGAGCACTAGATATTAGGTTTTTACTTATAAGGAGGTTCTGCACTGTTTCTGCTCTGGAACTGTCATTCAGGTGTCACTATAGGATGGGTCTAAGTACCTCTTGCCTATGGAATGAGATCACTGGAACAGGAATGAAGAGAATGGTAAGAGAGTTGTAAGAAACCTGTTAGAGCAGCATTTTGATAGAGCAGAGTGTAAATAGCACATTTGGGAGTAAAGGTAGTAATGGGTTAATATTGGAAAACTTCAGTCACCTGGCTGGGTAGTTGGACTGAGCTTCTTATGTTTTGTGTGTGCATGTCAGCAGCACTGAGTTCTTGTGAGTGGCACATATAGAATGAATGATAATAGCTCAAAGTCGTGCTTTATATTTGGTGTAATAAAAACTAACAGCATATAGCATAGAATCATGGAATATCTCAAGTTTTAAGTGATCCATAAAGATCATTGATTCCAACTCCCTGCTCCTCTAGGACTAACTAAAACTAAACTGTGTGACTAAAAGCATGTCCAGATGTCCTTGAGTATAGATAATACACGATGTTTCATTCTCTTTGAATTGTTATGACCTTTATTAGATTATAAACCTTCTTCATACAATTTTAACAAGTCTTTTTAAGGCCTTGATGAGAAGTGGATGATCAAACATTTTCATCTGTATCTGGAATTATGGAAGAGTGGTGACAATTAGAAGGGAGTGGGTTACAGAAACAATTGGTCTTTTTCTATGGTTTGGTGTGCTGGATCAAGACGATTTCAGCCAGAATTCTACATGTGGAAAGGAGAAGCTACTTGTGAAAGATGTTTATATTTATTTTAAAGTTGTGAAAGATAATAATATTTATTTTAAAGTTATGATAAAGTTCTCCCAGTCAAATCTGGGAGACATCAGTACTGTGAAGTGCTGTGGAAGAAAAGGATGCTGGCCTTCTGAAAGCTCCTGACAGCTTGTTGCTATCAAGTAAAGTTTTCTACCTGCTTCAGGAATTCCCAGCTGAGCTTTGCATTACTACTTCTAAAGTGAAAAAGATATCAATAATATGGACTACAGCGTGCTTTGGATGTAATTCCCAATTTTTTTTACACTTGTGTAGATTAGGTTCCAGGTTTTATTCTGAAGGAATTATAGCATGTCACAGCCAGGTTAATCAATAGAGGTTGGTATAAAAGGTTAGAAACAAACATTTTATTACAAGAATTCCACGTAAAGAACCTCTTGACCTTCAGCTGTGAGTTTCTTCAGTCAGTTGTTTGTTTCTCATAGCACTTGCAAAATAATTAGTAGCAGTAATAGAAGATTAAGATAATTACTTGTCCATAGTTTTAGTTTTTCATAACAGTACTTTATTAATAATTTTCTCTTTGGAGGCTTCTTTTATAGCTAAACCAGCAAATTAACAGCACTGGAAAGCTGACATGCTGGGTCCCACTGAGAAGAGTTTGATGTTTGTAGTTATTTTTAATACCTTGCCTGAAAGAGTGAAAAAAAGTTAAAGATTTGGGCTTTGAAACTGATATCTTGATTTTGTCAACCTGACCTAGTTTTCAGTGCACTACTAATACTCTTGCTATGGATAGAAATGATCTGATGCAGGTCAGGTATTTAAGCTGATTCAGGAAGATGAGAAATAAATATTTATTTGGTTAGTTGGAATTGAGATGAGTGGCTGTCCCCAAACACCCTGTAAAACAGCTTTATGCAATGTAGAACACATTTTCTTTTTTAATTGTTTCTGAAGAAAATAAGACTTTTCTGAATAATGTTTGCAGCAGTTTACCCCTGAAGGGATATAGTTAGTTTGCCACAAGTTTAAAAGCTTGACAAATGTAAGTATTTGGAGGCTGTTATATTATTTCTTGTCCGACCCCTCAAAACAAGTTTAGAATGTAAGTGTACAACTCTGGCACTATTGTTTTGCCCTAAACGATTTTTTAAAAAGTAAATGAAGAGAAGCAGAGTTGTAGACATGTTTGTCAGTTCAGTGTTACTAATTAGACTTCCAGTTCTGGGGACTGATTAGCTTTTTGTTTTTAGATGTTTGTTGTTTACCATAGTAAATCATGACTAAAATGACCTCTAGATACTTGTTTCTCCTTTGTTAAGGATTTTAAGAATGACTTTTCTTATGGTGGCAGAAACATTTACTTAATACAAATGCAATTAATTATTTAATTATCTTTATGTTGATTTTCAGACACATTTTGATTACTTGGATTGAAATTGTTATGGGGTTTTTTTTTCATTAGACGTTCAATGACATGTCTAGTGCTCAGTAGCTGTAATAAGAAGCTCACTCTCTAGTCCTTGCAGTAGTAACAACGTCAACAAAGATGTGATGAAAATTTTCACAAAAGTTTATGTTAGTGCATCCAAATCTGTGAGCCTTCTGCTGTGATATGGTGCTTTGCTTGCCTTTGTGATTATTATGAAGCATTCCCACGTGGTGTCGGTTTAGTCGGGCAGTGGGGAAAACTCACACAGTTAATAGAAATGTCTTTCTTTTCTCCTTTGTCCTTTAAAGCATGTTGTGTACAGGAAAAGCAATGAGTCAAATTCATTCTCTTCTGTCTAAATTTTTCCCCAGGTGGACACTTCTTATTTATACACTGGTTTGAGTTTGGAAATTACCTGAAATCAATCCTGGATGCTCTTGAAGTGTATGTGGCTTTTCCATGCAGTGACATATTAGCATATTTTGTGGTCTTAGACAACTGAGAAGCTAATATTTTAAGTGAATTAGAGGAGTGGAAAATAGTAAGGCAGCTGTATCAGCCTAGGAGAAAAATCTCAGGTAGTGTGAAATAATAAAATTTTGCTGTCTTGTCTTCTGAAAGGAAAAATAGTGTTTTCTTCTAAACCTAGAGACTATGGCCTAGACATAAGAATATGAACCACTGTGTCCTGAGACTCAGGAGTCTGTTGCTGTTTTTGCCTCTTTAATTGTGGATTTTCTCCTGTTTCCTACATGAATTTATCAATTAATCAAGTGAATGGGAGACAATATTATGCCAGAAATAGGTTTTAAGAAGTGAAGAAAGAAAAATGAGAATAAAGAAAAGAGATAATATTTATAGCCAAAAAAAATTTATACTGAAGTAGATGAAAACTGAAAGATATGTGATTACAATCAGGAATGAATTAAGCAAGGAGAAGGAAATATAATGCTTACCTTTTTTTTAATTTTTCAATTATTTTTTCTTTTAATAATCAATGAAAACCTTTTTCTAAAATTTAAAGGAATTCCATGAAAAGGTTTAGGTTTAGATATGTAAAATGGATTTAATCTCCTTTCTGTAACCAGAATGCTGCTCTTGTACACCCCTAGAATATTTTACTCAATATCTTTGCTTATTTCTTTAGATTTTGATAACTTGGTCATAATTTAGACATAAAGTTTTAAAAATGTTAAAAATATACATTAAGGTGTCTATTCTGTCTTCTGTTCAATATCTAAATACCATCTGGCTACCTTCTGTCTCTTCT